GGGGGGTACGTTTGCGGAGCCGGGCGACGGCATGAGAGATGGACGAGGGGGAGGGGACCGGGAGGGTCAGGAGGCAAGCGAAGGGAAGAGGGCAGAAGAAAAACCGACCACCGGCCGAACAGGCACCGAGCATACCGATGATGCTGTCGATGCCGACCGAGATGTGACTGATGGAGGAGGAGCTGCTGGTGAACAGCCCGGAAGCCAAGCTATGCGTGGACGAGGGGGCAGCCAGTGACCCGAGCAGGGACGGCGAGGCCGGGCTGCCGGTCGGGGCCAGGCGCTCGCCCCGGCACCCGATCGGAACACTGTCCACCTCCTCGTCGGAGGACAGCTGGTCGAAGTAGGCATCCCCCAGATGCTGATAGGGCCCGGTGATGTCGTCGGTGTCGGTGGCGCACGAGGTGGAGGCCGGCCGCTCGGCGGTCGCCGGCATGGCGGCCGGGGAACCAGCCTCATCGATGCCAGTCCCGGCACCACTGGCGGGGCTGGCACTGGCTGGGATCGCCGCCTGGGCCGGCGGATGGCCGAAGCTTTCCCGGCAGCAGGTGGCACAGTGCTCAAGCCGGCAGCAGGGACATACATCTGTCGGGTCTGGAGGGCGGGGGCGAGGGCGAGGGGGGATGTGAGCTGGGACATGGGACCCGGGCAAGGGGAGAGCCAGAATGGGATCCCGTCCGAGCGGCGGCCGGGCAGAGCGCACCGACACAGTCCCCCAGAAGGTCCGTCGGGACCGGCGGGCAGCGCCCAAGGCACAGGGTCGACAGGCCCGGGCAGCATATGAAGCCGCCATGGGTGCACGGGTGCCGCGAGCAGGATGCAACGGAGGCCAGCATATCCTGGGAGGTTGGAGATTGCAGGGGGGGAGGAGCGGGAAGGCACCAGGGGGGCTTCTGTCAGCCTGGCCACAATGCAGAACGGTAGCATGGGAAAAGTCGGCGAGGAGGGGTCGGGGGGGGGGGGGGATGCGCACATGGCGGAAGGGCCCCAGCGACAGCTGGGGAAGGTGCCCCGGGGCCAAATCCAGGAAGACCGCGTGGCGCAGACTCCGGCCGACGGCCGCCGCCACCAAGATCTGCGCGTCGATCTGGCTGGAGGTGGGGCAGAGCGTTCGCGCAGGGGCCGCCCCGGCCAAGTCCCCCAGGTCCCCGGTGCTGCTGGAGGCCGTGGAGGCGCTGCTGCTGCTGCTGCCGCCGCCGCCCGCGCCGAAGAGCCCGCCAAAGAAGGAGGACAGCAAGCCACCCGGGGAGATGGCATCCAGGAGGGACCCATCGCTGGGCGTCGGCACGAGGGCGGCCCCGCCGTCCAGGGCGCCGGCCGACTCCGGCGACGACGGGCTCAGGTCAAAGAAGTCCGCCAGGAAGGATGACCCGGTGGAGGGGGGCTTGCCGGCTGCGGGCGTGGCCGGCCGGGCCGCCGGTGGATTGCTGGGGGCCGGCCCGGGGGCCGGTGCCCCGGGCCCGGGCGACAGCGCGTCGACCGCCTGCGAGGTGGGGATTCGCCGGCGATACTGATCGTGCAGCAACCACACGGCGTGATCCATGGTGGCGGCGGCGGCGGCGGCTGCGGCGGCTGCGGTAACGGGAGGGAAGGACGGCGGGCTGGCAGGACCAGAAGTGCGGGCAGCAGGCGAAGGAGAGAGGCAGAGGGCCAGGGGGCGGGGGAGGGAACAGGGGGAGGGGAAAAGAAAAGGGAAGGAGAGCGGGCGGAGAGAGAGAGAGAGAGGGAGGGAGGGAAAAGGAAGGAAGGAGAGAGAGAGAGAGAGAAGGAGGCTGCCCACCGCCCGGAGCTCACCGACGCCAGAGGCCGCCGGCAAAAGAAGCCGCCCTGGCGGCCTGGTGCCCGGCTGCGAGACAGGGGCGGGAAATCAAAATATCATTAATTGGCTGTATTGTGCATGCGCCGGGGGCGCGGGGGGCTCTCCGGGCGAGCACACGCGCCTTCACGCCCCTCCAGGCCATGACCCCGTTGTCCACCGTATACACCGCGGACGAACGCCCCCCGGCATCGGCCGGCTGGGCAGCCCGATGAAGTGTGCCTGCCCCCTGCCCAGCCCGCGTCTCGGTCTTCCTGTGTCCCTTCTGTGGCTCGCCGCTCCCCCGCCCTCTCTCTGGCTCGCCCGCCTTCTGTCCAGACTGTTACGTTGGGCCGCGATCGGTCTGGACTGGCTGGGTCCGGCCAGAACCACGGGACTCCTTTCGCAGAGACCGGCAGCAGGGTCCCCGCCGAATTTTGGGCAGTCCCTGCCCGCGGTGGAATGATGTTCAGGGATCACCTGCTGAGGTTCCGGTGCATTGGCAATCGCCGCTGGGCGGCGACGTGGTCCGGCGGCCGGGGGCACCTGCCCGCGCGCGGCCCCCACCTCGCGGGGCGGCCGGCTACCACGGCATCGGCGGCCACTTGCGATTTTGCAGCCCGCACGAGATTGCCCGCCTGCCTGCCTGCCTGCGCGGGCGGGCGGGCAGGCGGGCACGCTGCGGCAGGCCGCCCCATCTGTGGCCTCCCCCCGTCTCGAAGGCCCACTTCTTGGCCGACCGATGTCGCGCATCGAGCGCGCACAAATCCCATGTCCTCCCCTCCCTCTCCCTCTCCCAATCGCTGCTTCCCCCTCCCCTCTGTCTCTGTCGCACACACGCACGCACACACACACACGCACGCACACACACACACACACACACACACACACGCACGCGCACGGACACGCACACGCACACGGGCGGCTACTATGATCATGGCCCAGGCTCCGCCGCTGAGCATGCACTCGCCGGATATGCGCCGGCTCTTTATCCAGGGGATCCCTCTGTCGGCCTCGGCCGCAGACCTGGAGGCCCGGTTCCGGCCCTTTGGCCGGGTCGTCGAGTGCGAGATCCCACTCTGCACGAACAGCGGCCTGTCGCGCGGCTATGGCTTTGTGTCGCTTGACGTCACGGAGAAGGAGCTGAACCGCTGTGCGTGCCCCGTCTTGCCCCTGCTTGGTCTCTCGCTCCGTCTCTCTCTCCCTCTCTCTCCCTTTGGCTCTCTGTCGCTCCGTCCCTCCCTCTCGCCCGGTCACCCTTTTGCGGCCCATGACTCGGCGTGGGGCTCCGACTGACATCCTTCATGCCCGGTCGCGGGCACGGCCGCCCTTCCCAGGCATGAGTGTCTATGCCAAGTCCAAGTGGCAGGGCCGGGAGATGCGCGTGCAGCTGGCCAAGCCCCGGATCGAAGAGCGCCTGCAGGGCGAGCGCCAGGCGGCGGCCGCGGCGGCGGCTGCCGCCCGCGAGGCCGCGGCCAGCGCCGCTCGCGCCCAGGTCATCGAGCCGGGCCCGCATCTGGACCCGGAGGCCGACCCCCTGTCGGTGCCCCTGCCATCCAAGTGGAAGCGCGCCTACCACAACCGCCTGGTGCCGGTGCTGCGCTTCTGGCACCCGGACCGCAGCAAGCGCAAGGTATGCCCCGCGCGCCGTGTGCCCCCCTGCCCCCCGGCGGGGGGCCGAGGCTCGACCTCCCTTTTCTTTTTCCCCCTTTCTGCCACTCCCCGCGTCACTGGAGGGGGCCGGCCACTGACCGCGGTCCATGCTGTGGTGGCCCGTCATGGGCGCAGTTCCTCGTCATCGACCCGTCCAAGGGCCGGGCGCACCGGGTTCGCTTCCCGGTGGCCGGGCAGGAGAAGCCGATCGGCAAGCTGATGCGCTACTACTACAAGCCCCCGGCATCGGCCCTGTACCTGCCGCAGAACATCGACCATCTGGCGGTTTCCTCGGTGCTGGCGTACACGGCCCCGATGCGGGCGCACGGGGCCGACTCTTCCGGCGGCTCGGACGGCCGGTCGTCAGCCTCCTCGGATTCCGACTCGGATGCCGGGTCGGCCTCGGGCGCCGGTGGCCGGGGGGCCTCGCACGGGTCGTCCTCCTCCTCCTCCTCCTCCTCTTGGGCCGCTGGTGGCGGTCGCGGGGAGGCCGATGAAGAGGAGGAGGAGGATGGGCGCCGGCCGCGGCGCAGCGCCTGGCCCCCGGCCGGCAACTGCCAGCCTGGTGGTCTCCTCAGCGGGCTGGTGGATCTGGACGAGGAGGAGGCCGACGAGGAGGACGGCGAGCCGGAGTTCTTCGCCCCGGAGGACGGCGCCGTCCAGCAGTACCACGACCAGTATGATGCGGCTGATCCCGAGCAACAGGGCGACCATGAGCCGGGGGTGGCCACCGGGCACTTCCCGAATATGCCCTTTTTCTTCCACTCGTCGCGGGACTTTGCCGGCGGGTGCCTGGACTCCGGCGAGGCGATCGTCGCGTGGGACGGCCAGCCCGTGGGGTTGCGTTTCGCCGCGCGCGGCAACATGTGCGTGCTTTTTGCCTCTCCCCGCTGTGTCTTGCCGCTCTGTGACCTTTATGTATACATGCATCCGTGTGTCTCGCTGACGATGTACTTTGTGCCGCGCCCTCCTCTCTTTTCTTTCCGTCTTTCTTTCCGTCTTTCTTTCCGTCTTTCTTTCTCTCTTTCTCTCTCTCTTTCTCTCTTTCTCTCTTTCTCTCTTTCTTTCTCTCTCTCCCTCTCTTTCTTTCTCTCTCTCCCTCTCTTCCTTTCTCTCTCTCCCCCTCTCCCCCTCTCCCCCTCTCTCCCTCTCTCCCTCTCTCCCTCCTTCTCCCCCTCCCTCC